TCTAAAAAAAAATGGACGTAATTTGACAATTGAAACTTTGTTTCATATCAATAGTAACAAAGGACAAAGATTATTGCGTTTTTTTTGGATGCGCGCAGCCGCGATACAATGATCCATTCATTCAAATGAAACAGGATGACTAATCGATTCTTGAGATTTAATAATCGATATCGGTTCGGTTATTACCCAGCCCTAATAAACAACATTAAAAGCTGGATTTACAACCACAGGGGGACTTTAAACCAGGAACAAATTTGCCAATGGGCTCAAAAAATAAACTTAATTCACACACTGATTTCAAACAAGAGATTTTGCTTCTCTAGCAAATGTATCACGATTTAAGAATGTTTAGATATTTTCTGGAAATCAAAAATACTGAGGAAGAGCAAGACTTCTTAATGAGACCAGAAGAGCTGAGGTCTACAGACAAACGGAGCGTCTCGCGCTGGACGGACGCTGTCAGATTCCACACTGCTGTATTAAACTCTGAGAGTGTGTTGTCTCTGGACCGCGGGTCAAATGCACCAAACAACCCGTCTGTGTGATGGCAGACGGTGGCAAAGGTGAGCTGACAGTGACGTGACATCTTCACCCGTTCACCAGAAGCCTTGTGCTCTGGCCGAGGGGAACGAACGCTGTCCAATCCAAACACACGGACAGTCCCGGTGACATTTCACTGAACACAGATGCTGGCGCACTGACAGCCGACCGGACGGACACACACTCCTGACGGGAGGGAGAGAGATGTGTGTGTGTGTGTGTGTCTACTTGACTGTATTTTGGGGACAAATTTGTACCCAGAAGTGACCAAAATCTCCAAAAACCTCCTTTAGGAACGACCTCATCTGTAAATCTGCTATAAAAATAAAGTTTTTTTAAATGTAAAAAGACAGAAAGTTTTGTGTGGAGCGTAGGTTTAGGGGTTGGGTTAGTGTGAGGGGAGAGAATACACAGTTTGTACAGTATAAAAACCATTCTGTCTATGGAGAATCCTCATTTAAATAGCTACGTAAGTTCAGAATGAAACTAAATCTGGAAATAAATGAAAATTATTTTATACTTTATATTAAAGCTAGCAAATGTTTGTGAAAGAAGTCTCTTCTGCTCACTAATGCTGCATTTATTTGATCAAAAATACAGTAAAACAAGTTTGAGATATGTTATACTTTACATATTATATAAAAGTATGGATATAATTTAAAATAGAGCCCGACCGATAAAGGATTTTGAAGGCCGATACCGATACAAATATTTTTGGGTTTTAAAATCCGATATATCGGCCGATATTTTATTTATTTATTTATTTTTTTAAACTGGACATGATCGTCACATATTTTGTCCTGCTTATTTGAGTTAAGAGAACTGATGGGGATAATCTTTTAATTGTTATTCAAGCAATGTATGTATCGTGACCAACTCAACGAGTGTTGCCAACAGGAACGGTGTAGAGCGCCCTCTGGTGGACAAACTATACAACTCCAACACACATGACATGGTTCAAGCGTGTTTCGTCCGTTTTTATTTTATTTTTGAAATATTCATTTATCGGCCGATACCGATAGTTTGGAAAATGCCTAATATCGGTCTACCGATATATCGGTCTGGCTCTAATTTAAAATGTAATTTATTCCTGTGATCAAAGCTGAATTTTTCAGTCTTCAGTGTCACATGATCCTTCAGAAATCACTCTAATATGAGGATCTGATTATCATCAAACATTTATGATTATTATGAATGTTAAGATAGGCTAGTTGTTGAATCTGTGATGCACTTCTTTTGTAACATTATATATTTGTTTTGTTTTTTAATGCCATGCTATAAACACACGGCCAATATCACAATCCAGAAAATATGAATTATTATATAAAACATTTCAACTTACTGAAACAAACATGTAACATTATAAAATGATTTTACTGTTACTTTTGATCGATTTAATGCATGTTGAATGGTACGGTATATATCTACGCAATATCTCACCATGGAATCAAAAACTAAATATCAGGTAAATCATAGGTTTTAATGTCTGGCCACTTAAAGTTTTACAATATTTAAGGAATTCACAAGATTTGAGGAATCGAGTTCCTACTTATTTGAAAAGAGACACATCAAACAAACATCTAATGAATATATGACCATTTAGCTTTTGATTTCTCCATATCCTGATATGATCGTGATATGACTATAACTGGGGGAAACTCGAGCGTCAGCCCGGACATTATTTGTAGTAAGTGGAAAACCCACTCCCCGTCCCTGCAGACTCTCCATTCACATATTTCAGTATCAGCCACTGAGATCTAAATAACGGTCCTTCCCCTTCGCCACCTCCTCCCTGTTTCCGGCTCTGGTTAACCAGACACCCGTCTGACGCCACCGTCTCCTGCTAAAGCCATCACGCGCGCACCACTGCCAGTGCGTCTGGTTAGCAGAGTGGAAGTGATGCGTTTTCATTCTTCATGCATGTCCACAATTGTGGTAACATTCAGAAATGTTTCTAAAAGCACCTGAAGTCGACTAAACTAACCATATACTGTAGTAACACAAGCTACCATAATGCATAACTAGTCATTTGCATATTAATATTCCAACAGATTCGAGTTCATCATTTGTTCATATATAGCGATTTTTATTCTCATGATAGTCTAGATTGAAGGGAAGATGCAAAAGATGTTTTTCTTCATGTACATCTGAGAGAAATGGATCATTGAAAGATGAAACCATGCAGGGCGGGGCTTGTTTCTATCTATCGACTGCTGATTGGATGCTGAGATGTGGGCGTGGCACTCAGAAATGGAGGCGAATCTGAAAGAGGCGGGGTTTATGCAAACTAAAAAATGAGAAGTTGGGCATATGTGTCACTAAAGGAAGATCGAGAGACGAGCTTTGATGATTTAATAAAAAATCATTCACAATAAGATAATTATAGCTTGCATTAATTGTACAGCAGGGTAATTATGACTAGTCGCATCTATTCTATATTTGGGGTTTTATTTTATTCTTTGTGCTATTAGTGTTGGGACTGTTGTTTGCGGCTCTTAAGCGCATTTAAAAATATATATGGTGAATTGTCATTTCATACTGACTTCATTAAATACACAATAATACACAATATCCTATATTGTCACTATATCACAATATCCCATTCACCACAATACACACACAGCCCTAATCAAATCCAGTGTTGTGCAAGTTACTTCCAAACTGTAATACATTAGGTATTACTTGTTACTGTTATTTAAAAGTAATTCATTACCTTACAATATTACTGTCTCAGAATTGTAATGCGTTACATTACTCATGTATTACTTTTGAGTTACTTTCACCAAAATAACTAAGTAGAACAATTTTGGGGCTGTAACGATATGCAATATGAAACCGAAATCGCGATTCGCCACATCCACGAACCTACAGAATCGCGACACACCTCTTCCAACTCCAGCGTTATTCTCCTTACCGTCCATATCCAATGCTGCCTTATCTTTAAATTAGGCTATTAGTATTATTTGAAGTTAACATTATAAAACACGTAGACCTACACCACAAAACTAGTTAAGGAGCATCATGGACATGACATTTGCAGTCAAAACTTGAAATAAAAATTCTCAGAAAATATGTATTGAAACATATTTGCTACTTCCTCAAAGGACTCCAGACATTAGACAAATATCAGTCTGTTTTATTTTTAATATTAGGGAAAAGACACACATTTATGCGTGACAAAAAAAAAAAATAGGAGGCAAAATATATTTTTTGTAATTCTGTTAAACACACTGCGCAAATCGGATGAGGAAGGGTTGGCTCTCCAGTCTCCATAGAACTTAAAATATTCATTTTATTTTAGTTTTCGTGTTCATTTCTGAGGAAAAAACAATGTTACAGACGCGACCGCTCTGAACTGGCACTAAAAGACTGCTTTAAAACTTTCACATAGTCTGTTGCCTTTAAGAAGTAAAAGCAGACAATACACTGTAATACAACTGTAATACAAGCCTCACTGAACATGTAACGAGTAAAATATTACTGAAAATTGATTAGTAATGCCTTACACTACTGCGTTACAGCAAAAAGTAATATGTTACTGTAATGTATTACTTTTGTAATGCGTTACTCCCAACACTGAATCAAATCACCTCAGAAAGTTCAAACACAATGGCAGAAGTACATTTTTCTCACAATCTCACCAAATGTGACACGCGAAGATTCAACGAGAAAGAACTACATTAATTAAAGTGCCCCATTATGATATTTTAAAGCTTCCTAATGTTATTTTGGCGTTGCTTACAACAGGTTCACATGCATCCAAGATCAAAAACACGTTCATTTTGTAATCATATCCCCTTTATCTCAGTGAGTGTCTGAAATGCTTCGTCTCTCTAAGCTCCGCCTCTCTGAGAGCTGCTCTGCTCTGATTGGTCAGAAGGCTCATTATCATATCAGAATCTCAGCTCAACACACAGTGATCTAAACAGTAACGATGGCGAGGGTTTTACCGTATCAATCTCATCAGCAGAAAACAGCGACATGAACAACACGAACAACACGAACCAAACTCTCCCAGTCTCAGATACACTAGTGTTTGAGGGCGGGGCTAAGAGACACTGTTCAGCCAATCGGGTGGCATTATGCAAATTAGTAATAAACCCAGACTGAATTACTGACGACTCAGTTCAGAATCAGAATCAGAATCAGCTTCTTTCTTTCAGCCGTTCCAACAGAGTTTAGAGGAAACTCCAGATTCAGAGGCTATCAAACAAATCTTTGATTATAAACTTTGTCAGCTAAATGCTGTGTGTGTGTGTGTGTGTGTGTGTGTGTGTGTAAAAGAACAGCCTGAAGGGAAACCTATTGAGCTGTTGTGATGCTTTGTTCTCTCTTCCACACGCATGTTGTCAGTAATTGTTCTTCCTCTCACATTTGCCTCGGGGTGATGAAACCTACATGTTCTGAACGTTATCAAAGCAGATCAACTCACACACACACACACACACACACACACACACCTCGCTTGTGCAGCCATCCCTCCTTCACGATCACTCCGTCTGTCGTCATGCTCTCCGGCGCCGGCCCGTCAGTCTGTCCAGATCCGAGTCCTTCGCTCCGGCCAGCGCAAACCTCTTCTCACGCTCTCCTGTATGTGGAGCAGAGATGAAGATCAGACCCGGTTCACTCTTAAACTCTTAAAGGAGTAGTTCACTTTAAAAAAACTTTTGCTGATAATTTACTCGCCCCCATGTCATCCAAGACGTCCGTGTCTTTCTTTCTTCAGTCGAAAAGAAATTAAGGTTTTTGATGAAAACATATATCCATATAATGGATTTCAATGGGGTCCAAACGGTTCAAAATCCAAATGAGAGTTTCAGTGCAAACTGTTCAAAGGGCTTTAAACGATTCCAGACGACGAATAAGGGTCTTATCAAGCGAAACGATCGCTCATTTAATAAATAAATACAAAAGTTTACGTTTTATAAGCTCAAATGCTCGCCTTGCTCTGTTCTGATGCGCGTTCGTGACTCTCCTGTTCGAACTCGTTCCATCAAAATGAACGAATCTTTTTTCGAGTCATGACTCGAAGGGTCCTAGATAAGACCCTTATTCATCGTCCGGTGTCATTTAAAGCCTTCGAACAGTTTGCACTGAAACTCTCATTTGGACCTTGAACCGTTTGGACCCCATTGAAGTCCATTATATGGAGAAAATCCTGGAATGTTTTCATCAAAAACCTTAATTTCTTTTCGACTGAAGAAATAAAGACGTGGACATCTTGGATGACGAGGGGGTGAGTAAATTATCAGCTAAAGTTTTTTTTTTATGTGAACTACTCCTTTAAAGTAGAGCTCTCCAAACCAGAACATCCCAGAATCATGAAACAATAAACACAGAAACACTTTACAGACATAAACATATAAAGACATGTAAGCCCTGAAATATGATTATATTTCCAAAACTCCACCTTGGTTGGTTGGTGAAGAGCTTGAAAATGCATAAACATTAACACACTTTTAGGTTTTAACAGTCGATGTGCAGAAAGACTGATATTTATAAAGGGAATTATACACTTTTAGAAATATAGTTTGGGATCAGAAATTAATATTTTTATTCAGCAATCTGATGCAATAAATGATTAAAGGTGACAGTGAAGACATTTATAATGTTACAAATGGCTGTCATGACTATTAACAATTGATACTAATTAAGCATCAAATCATATTAGAGTGATTTGTGAAGGATCGTGTGACACTGAAGACTGGAGTAATGATTGATATGATCACAGGAATAAATTACACTTTACTATATATTCATATAGAAAACAGCAGTTTTGGATTCTAAAAATATTTCACAATTTTTACAGTATTTTTGAACAAAAAAATGCATATGCAAATATAAGCTAAACGTAAAGCAATTAGGGACTTGTCTGTTGACTGTGGTAAAACCGTTTATAAAACCTCTGCAACAACAATATAATTTAAGGCATTAATGCTCAATGTATTATTAATAATATTCAGACTTCCCTGCATTGCCAAGATCTAGATAATGTCACACACTGAACGTAATCTGTGCTTTATAAAAGCTCCCTGTGACGTTCAATAAGTTGATTATTATATAGTATAAATTATTATTACCATCCACTATCCACAACAATAAACGCTGCACATCTGCAGGCCTCGACTGTCAGGCGTTCATCACGGAGATCAAGAGTCACAGTATCAGACGCACTGCAGAAGAAACCACTTCCTGTGTGACAGGAAGTCGAGTTTAAAGGCTGGCAGCATCATAAATAAACACAATTGACCAACGACTGCATGCTTTATTTAATCCGGCAAATGAACCAATAGGAACGCAATAAAGGAGTCAGCTGACTGCCCAAAACACTTCCTTTTAAGATATTGTATACAGTATATTTTCGGGCGACCAAAAACTATCTGATGGAAAATGTGAACTATCTGATTTCTGCTTTCGGATGAAACAGTGACGGCTATTGAGCATTTTTTGGACTATAACCATCGACTTCTCATTGATAAACAAGATATTTTAGCCTTTGCTGTCTTCAGTGAATAATTGATGAACAAAACTTTATTTGTAGCGCACCTGTCATGCGGTAATAAGCTTTAAATTGTGTTATTTTTAATGTGAAACGAAGCTTTCTTTCAATATGATAACGAAATACAATCAGTAAAATTGAAAAAACAGACTTCATTTTATTCTAAATGGTTTTAATTTACTGTATTTTATTTTTATCATAATTTTTATTTTTCATTATTTCTTATTCTAAACTGTTTTAATTATTCTGATTTCTTTTGATTATTTTAATTTCTTCTATGTAAAGCACTTTGAATTGCCATTGTGTATGAAATGTGCTATATAAATAAACTTGCCTTGCCTAAAAGTGTTTTTGCTGCTCTTTAATGTGTTGTGACACTTGAACCGATCATCTCTTCCTTTTTAATATTAGTGATAGTTACAGCAGCAAATGAACATCAATGACCATCAGAAGGAGTGTTGAATGATACAGAACAACTTACTGAAATAATCATCTGTCAAGTTATCCATCAAGCAGTGTTTCAAGAACAGCTTATGAACAATAATGTCACATTTAAAGCCATTCAGTGACCATAAACTCGAAGATTAGCTGGAAAGATAACTCTACAGAGAAGCATTTTCATAAATGCATGCATTACATATTCATTATATCTTTCCTTCACTGCTTCATTATTTAATGCATGCAATAAATCTGTCATGCAAACAATTTATCATGCATCAAAAAAATGCTAGGTGGTTTAAACCCAATTTTGGGTCAAATATGGACAAACCCAGCCATTGGGTTACTTTTTTAACCCAATGTTTGAGTTTGTCCTGGGTTAAAACAACCCAGGATTTTTTAGAGTGTATATTTCAACATCATTGTATCATTAAAAAGCTGATGCCTTATGTGCAGTTTCAATACTCTCATAAAACAGTTCTGATTATTAAATACATTAGGGATGCACAATATATCGCCCACCGTATCGGTATCGGACGATATATGTCCATTTTAATCTTATCGTTATCGGCCCAAGAAAATTCGGCCGATATATTAAAGCTGATAAATAATGTATTATTTCCTTCAGCTGAATGATGATGATGGCTTTGAATTGCATTGGGAAATACAGCTCTGTGCAACATGCAAGTCTGTCATATCAGATACATGACATTATAATTGTGTGCTTGTGACATTGATTTTAGATTTTGTAATCAGGCTCTTAAAAATTATATGAAAATTTGGATTTAGATTTATCGGCCAATATGTCTATTATCGGCTTTAAAATATAAAGAATTATCTTTTATTGTATCCGCCAAAATGTTCATAGCGGTTCATCCCTATACAGTCCCTCCAGAAAAACGCGAATATGCGATCGCTGAATTCAATGCAAAATCAGCCAAAGTCCGCATATTTATGCGGGGCCGCATTTTTTCAAATACGCCGCACTTTCGCCGCATAAATTGCCGATTTCCGTGCAAAATATGTGGGGTTTGCATAATTTCATAATCCTCGCATTTTCGTTGTAAAAAAAGTCACATGTATCTTAGCAGAAAGTTGAAAAATGTGCGTTTGCTTCACACAAGAGCAGCCATTTCCCCCTGTTTCCATGGGAACGTTATGAAGTGACGCAATTACGCGACGCCAGACAGACTCACGGAGACGATTGACATCACACAAATCAAACTCGTATTACTGTCTGTCACACGTTCTACCGTCACATCGTTACTTAATAAACAACAATATAAAAGAAGTAGCATCAAACAGAAATTACCCGCACACATGGGTTTTTCGAGGCCCATATATAACACTGCAGAGAGCTCTTAAAGGGGCCACACCTTATTTACACTCGTTACAGTCTGAAATAAAAGAAGATGAGAAATTAAATATTCCCAGCACTTTCTATGATGTAGTATGCTTGCTTATCAAAGGAAGTAATAAGAATGACTCTTACATTAGCCGAGTGAGAACAGGATGTTGGGGGAATCACTTTTTTTCTCTTTTTCATCAAACCGCAATTTTTGCAAGTTCCCTCAATTTTTGCAAATTCCTGCAATTTCATCCCATAAAATTGCAAAAAAAAACCCCGCATATTCTTTCCATCGCATTTTTAAAGAAAACGGGCCACGTAATCAAGCATTTTTGCCCGCAACAATCACAAAAAAACTCCGCGTTTTTCTGAAAGGACTCAATACTATTATGGTAAATGTTATATGTAAATCGCAAATTTTTTCACAAATTTTTGGAAATCACCACCACAAAATCAGTCATTTTGATCGCAAAAATCACACAAAAAAATCGTGAAATCCTGGAGGGACTGATAAATACATTAAACTATCATATAAGGGCTGTGGCCGTGAGCTGCAAACCCATGTGCTTTTCAACAAGACCAGAGTGTTTTCACTGCAGCGGTCCACACACACACACACAGAGACGAGAGGATGGCATACAGCCAGAACAGGCCGTCTGAATGAACCCAATAACCTGCTCACATGATCCGCGGGGCCCGAGGCCCTTCATCTCTCAGGCCCCGCCCTGTTTCAAGTCATTCACAACTCCACAACTGTCTGTTAGATCAGGCCCTCTTCAAGCACTTACATCAGGAGGATATGTACGGATAACACATCAGGTGAAAATCCTGCTTTTCATGTTGTTTATGTGTGTATGTGGTGTTTTTAATACGCTTAAACCGTGTGTAAGTTGATAAATGGACAGCATTTCCTCCTTAAAACTGCAGCGAACCAAAGACAGTCTCAAAAACACGTTGTGAAATCGCTGGTGTTTCTGACGTCACAAACCACCTTGTAACCAATCAGATCAACATGTGATCGTGAGTGAGTGAGTGAGTGGAGGCGGGGCTCATTTGCATATTCATAGAACCGCATATACTAAATGAGCAAGGGTGTCGAGTAACATAAAGACATTTTTTTTCAAAGATGTTCTCATTTAGGTGATCAAAGATGTGTTTTATTGGATAAAAATGATTGACTACAGGGAAACTTTAAAGCACAGAAGCAGCTCTGCAACTCCAAACCACTTGAGCTTGTGTCCCGAGTTTAATATTTGGTTTTAGGGGTTTGTCCAACTCAGTCATGCGTGACGTCACCTCTCGTTCTAGTTCACAGGATCTGGAGTAGAAGTGCAATCTCTCCAATCAGACTAAAACACGGAGGCACGGACAGTCATATGATGCGAGTCTAAAACCAGGCGATTCGCGACCACTAACGCACAATACACTCGACTGTGTCTGAGTTCCTGCATTCTTCACATTCTGCGTGTTACTGGTGGCAGATCTGCGTCAGCGGGACCCGAAGGAGCTCAAAGTCGTCCCGCAGAAGAATGTAAAACATTCCTTCGGCATCTTCATCCCTCATCCGCCCACACACGTCACACGACAGCGGATGCACAGTCGAGTCTAGCGTTCGCGCCTCAAAATCAAGTGCTAAATATGAATATATTATTCATAAATATAGTCGTTTTTTAAAGTTGAAAGTGAAGGAAAAGTGCAAAGCATCCTCATGAAGTTTAAAAATACAAGTTTCATCATTTCCAATACTTTCATTTGTGTATATCGGCCCGTTTATGTTCATTTTTAATGTTATCATTATCGGCCCAATTCGAAAATCTGGCCAATATATTAAAGCTGGTAAACACTGCATTATTTCCTTCAGCTGAGACACTTGATGATTCTGGATGAATTGCTTGAAATGTGACTGGAATCACTTCAAAAAAAGGTAAATACAGTTTAGTGCAACATGTCTGTCATATCGGCTACTTAATATTATAATTGTGTGTTTGTGTCATTACTTGTTTTTGTAATCAGGCTCTAAAAAATCATGCAAAAATCTGGATTAAGGTTTATCGGCCAATACATAGGTGATAGGTCTTTCAAATATAATCAGTATCAGTTGATCCCTACTTAGGTTACTTCACTATAATTCTAAAATGTGAAAAAGTAGAATGAGTAATTCAAGTGGTATTTAACAACCTATCATCATCATAAACAATCCAGAATCAAAGACTAAACAAGCCTGAAGTAAACCAGATCCATGTTGATTAGATGGAGTCACAAATCAGTGTTTACAGTGAATGATCCACTCATTTCCCTGACAACATCTTCCGCTTGAGTTAGTCACGTGACTTTTTTGACAGTCCATCCAAGCAACTTCTGACTGATATAACGAGAATATACGTGTTGATACCCCTTTGAATACTAGCCTATATATTAATGGCAGACGATCTCATCAAATTCATCCATTGAACTTTACATTTCAAAACAACATGGTTACTGTAAACACTCTTACAGACACAAACACAATCACCTGAGATTACACTGATGAATTATTAACAGGAAGACACAGACAGACAGTCTGTTCTGCACATGTCGCTTGTAAACACAGCAGGACTGTCACGTAAAGACATTGGAATGTATGGAGAATAAAGAGAAACACAGTAACATTCGAATTTTAGTAACATTCCAATTTTTTTTTTTTTTTTTTTTTGCAACATTGTAACATTGTAACGGCTGGGCCTGGGCGTGCACGCGCTTAAAGTGACACAAAGTAACGACTGACAGATGAATAATGAAGGCATTGACGAGTTGAAACTAGAGGTTACAGTTTTAACCAGCAGCTAAACCAGTGTTTTCAGTCACCCCGCGTGGAGTCGCTTATCTTTAGAGTTAAAGTGTTTTATTTTAGGCCTCTGAAGAGAGAAATAACCGCATCCTATTCAGGGCTTCACTGTCCGATAATAACTCACGTCATTAAAGTGAATGAGAGAGACTTTACCGAGACTGATCTCACTGAGGGCTCCGGCGCATCGCTCGCTGCTTCGTCTGATACTTTAATCCCACAGAAAACAGGTAAAAGTGTTTAGATGAGCACGAGCGTGTCCTCTCCTCCTCCTCCTCCCCACAGCGCGAGACTCGGAATCCCTGAGAGCCAAACGCTGGGTCCTAGAGCCCGCCGGATCAACACTACACTACTACACTACTACAACACTACACTACACAACAAAACTACACTAAGCCACTACACTACAACACAACACTACACTAAACAACACTACACTAAACACTGTAAAAAATATTTTTAAGATTTGTTATCATAACATATTTCCTTTTGTCAAATCAACTTTATAATAATTTATTTAGTTGAGATAACTTATTATTTTGAGTTTCTGATGGTTAAATCAATCTACTTCATTGTATTAACTCACTTTTTCCAGTTCAATCAACTTAAAATTTTAAGACAACCCAGGTTACTTATTTTTTTGTTAAACCAACAATATTTTTTTTACAGTGGCAATCACAACATTTTTTCTTTTGTCAAATCAACTTAAATAATTTATTTAGTTCAGATAACATATAATTTTGAGTTGCTGATGATTAAATCATTCTCCTTCATTGTATTAACTCACTTTTTCCAGTTCGATGAACTTAAAATTTTAAGGCAACCAGGTTACTTACTTTAAGTTAAACCATCAATATTTTTTTACAGTGTACCATTTGCAACACTAAACCACTACACTACACCACAACACTAGACTACAACAACACTACACTACTACACTAAATGTACATATTTAACTGATGCTTTTATCCAAAGCGACTTATTGCTATGTCAGAGGTCGCACGCCTCTTATGTGTCTTGCTCAGGGACACATTGGTGTCTCACAGTGGATTCGAACCCGGGTCTCTCACACCAAAGGCATGTGTCCCATAAATCCCATCACCACTACAAGAGATATATATATATAGCATTTTTTCCTCATAGTAATTGATAAACTATAATGTGTTTATTATTCCATCTTTCTTTCTAACGGTATTTTTGTCTCAATAATGTCTTGATAAATGTAATTATTTTTATTCATTACACATCACCTTATTACTACATTCTTGTTGTTATTTGTTTTTCTTGTCATTGGTTGTTTTTGTGAATAAAGCTTTCGCAATATTGAAAACACAATCATGGCAATAAAGTGCTTTAAATGTAATATTCAGTGTGTGTGTGTGTGTGTGTGTGTGTCAGAGAGACAGTGGACAGCAGAGGAATGTGATCTTTTGTCTGTCTCGGGTCGGAATGCCATTGATGAGACGAACAGAAAGAACCCAGGAAAGTCTCTCTCTCTCTCTCTCTCTCTCTGTCTGTCCTGTGAGAAAGTCTGACGCTCTCAGACGCTGGATCTCATGCTGCACAAACACTCATTGTCTCACCCGTACACACTGCGTTCACAAACTACAGCAGCGCATGAATGAAGCTCAGAGGCCCGACAGAAACACTGAGGACCCGACAGTGACTGTGGACTCAGTGTTCAACTTAGGCTAAGGCTCTATACTTTACATTTAATTTTTTATTCATATATTATTTATATATTTAAAATTATAATTAATTTATATATAAGTTTAAATTAGAATATAAAATCCCAGAGCTTTAACTTGGTTTTACTTCTTCTTTTTTAAATACATATATTTTAAATTATTTATTTATTAATATATTTATATATTATTTTAAGTTTGAATGGGAAAAAATATTATTTATTTTTAATATATATTTATTTTTAAATGAATTATTTATATATTATGTATATATTGTCTTTGAGATAAAGATTTTCAACTTCTTTTTTGTACTTTTCAAATTATTTATTTATTAATATATATATATATATTTTTAAGTTTAAGTAGGAAAAATAACAGATTTTCAAATTGGTCTCAGATTAAAATAATAATAATTTATTTTTAAAGTAAATTATTATTATATTATTAATATATTATTTCCCTGTTTAAATGGGCAAAAAATCACTTGGTCTTAGATTTTTAAAAGTAATTTTAATTTATTTTTGAATTATTTATTAATATATAATTTATATATTATTGCCAAGTTTATTTCCAGTTCAAAAGCTCTGAGCATTTCATTAAACAAAATCATTTAGACACATATCGTCCCCGAACAGAAATTACTTATTTTTTTGTCTAAAATAAACAAAGTGAGTTATTACAGAAACACTATTTGTGATTTTTCTTTATTATATGAGCAGATAATAAATTACTAACACTTATAATGAACTAGGAATTAACAATACGTCTACAGCATTTATTAATCTTAATTAATTGCAAACTTTACCAATGCATTATTAAAATGACCTATATGAATTGTTACCAAAATATGTTTAATAAGATCAAACTAGTCTCAGTGTCACTATTATCGAGTCAGTGTGAGATGTTTAAATGAGATCTGTCTATCCCCGTACTGGAGTCAAAACAAAAGTAACGCAAATGCATTTATTTTGCCTTTCTTTTTATTTCTTTTATTTTGTTTGCTTATTTATTTAATAACTGTTTAAATGTCAATCAATACTCTATGTCCCTCGTACAAACTCAATTGTTCATGTTTATCAAACGTCAGGATTTATATGAAATGTTTATTGTTGTTACTTGCAAAATGCTAATAAAAAAATTACAAATAAAAACCTCATTTACAAACTCAATTGAGCTACTGTAAAAATTGATCAGTTGACTTAACTTAAAATAATTGAGTAAACCCGTTGCCTTAAAATGATTAAATGAGCTTAATTGAAACTATTAAGTTATGTGAACACATTACTTTTTTTTTTTAATTAAGCATGATTTTTACTTAAAAAAATTGAGTAAACCCGTTGCCTTAAAATTATTAAGTTAAGTCAACTCACTTACAGTGCATTTACAGTGCTGTTCATTTCAAATGTCAGTTGTGTTAATGAATGTTAATTGTTGTTACTTGCAAAACTGTTAATAAAACCTTATCCCCCTGGGACCGCAGCGAGGCCAGTCCTTCAGAGGATCTTGAATTGGTCTCTAAAGTGTCCGACAGCTGTTGAGCAAAAGGTTGAACAGTTGCGAGGCCAGAAGCTCAGCAGCTGCAGATCTGGGATCAGCTACACCTTCCTGTACCAGAATAGCCTGACCTATGTGTTCTGGTGCATCTGTGTGTGAATCAGACATTTGCATGTATTCTTTTAGCAGATGCTTTAGTTGAAACGAAGGTTACAGGCTGGAGATGGACAGCAGAGTTTGCACGTCGTTTTCCATTACTGATGTGATCAACTGCATGAATTTGAGAATGTCTCAGCGACACAAGCTAAACCTGATGATGATGATGAAGATAATGATGAAGATGATGCTCTCCAAAGAACATCTTGAGCTTTAGAAAATCTGACCGTCTGAACAAAGAGGCGAGTGATTAATGACACTCATTTACATTTCATGACAGTCACAGAGATTTAAAGAATAAAAAATAGGAGGCTAATAAATTATTTATACTGTTTTAGTAATTATTTATATCAGTTTTTTTTTTTCATGAAATAAAATCCCAGATATTTAACTTGGTCTTAATTTTCTTTAAGAAAAACTTTTAAATCATTTTTAATTCATTCTTAATATATTATTTATTCATTGTTTTCAAGTTCCAATGGGGGGAAATTTTCAGCTTGGACTTAATTTTTTTTTAAATAATGAAAAAATATTTTAAAATTATTAATTAATAGATTATTTATATATTGTTTACTAATAAAAAAACAGAGTTCCAACTTGGTCTCGGATTTTTGAATAATAAATTTAAATTTATTTTTAGATTATTTATTAATATATTTGTACATTATTTACAAGTTTAAATGGACCCCCCCCCCTTTTATTTTTATTATTTATTTTTTTTCTTTAATTTCTTAATATATTATTCATATTTTATTTACCAAATTTTGGGGGGGGGGGGATCCCATATTTTCAACTTTTCATTTTCAACGTTTTATTTATTTATTTTTATATTTATTAATATATATTATTTCCTATTTGGAAATATATATATTATAATATTTTGGACCCCACTGTACATGCGTGACTTATTAGTGGAACAATATAACGTGTGGCGTCATGCATTTACTGTATGGAGTTGAAGCTCAGAGTAACTTCAGGGAGACTGGAGCGCGAGTCGGTGCCAAGACATTCCAGCTCGAGGATTAGCCTCCATTAGATCCCAGAAACTCTCTCTCTTTCTCTCGCTAACCTGAGCTCTGAACAATGAGCAGAACCCTCTGATCACACACTTACATGAAGTGTAAGCTTGGGCTGGACGGGTTTAAGAGGACAAACTTGTGAATCTCATGAGCCCTATCCAAACACTCTTCATTTCCTTGAGAAAAGGGAAAAAACGTATTAATGCTCTTTAGATTTAGTTCCTCTTCACCTCACTTTGTGTTTGCAAATGTCTCTTATTTTCAGCTTGTGTTCAAACCTAATCAAATGAAAATGCACCTGCTATGAGTTAAAAGTTTGAACTCTAAATTTAAATGCATAACTAAAAAAGATAAGTGAATATACAGTTAATGCAGATATTGTAATTTGTGAATAACCCTTAAAATGTGTGTGTGTGTGTGTGTGTGTATATATATATATATATATATATATAATCTCTGCATTAAATTTTAATTATATTAAAGTTGAAAATCTTGGATTTTTCCATTTAAACTTGGAAATAATATATAAGCAATATATTAATAGGCTAAATTAAAGATGCAACAAAAAAAGTAGAAAAGCTAAGCCAAGTTGAAAATCTGGAATATGTTTTCATTTTTTTTTTCATTTAAACTCGAAAACAATATATAAATAATATAGGCTATTAATAATTCACTAAAAAATTATTTCGGATTAAAAAAAACTTGACGACAATATACAAATATATAGAACAATATATAGATTTGAATATCTCTCTCTGTCTCTCTCTCTCTAATATATATGGTCTAATATAAGCTATAAAGGTCATACACAAATGAGCTTTTATTAATGTAGAATGAGTGGCACAGCTGTCTTTTAAGTGAACACTGCTACTTACTGCCCCAGTGTGAGTTTGTCCTGAAGTACAGTACACTGGTGTTATCGCGAGACTGGACCATTAACAACCTGCCTGACACACACACACACGCGCGCGCGCGCAGCGCAGAGTGTTTCATGCGCACCAGAGAGACTCGAGGAACAGACCCAGAGACTCCAACATCTGGACACACACCATGAGCGCGCGCGGGTCCTTCTGATGACGCGACAGTGAGTATATATAGCTATATACATATACATAAATATATATGAGTTTAAATATGGACTTTCATGCATTCAGTGTGAAACATTCTGTCTGCGCGCGCGCTTGATCCGCGAGTTCCGCCGCCGCACTTCACATCGGGCGTTCACGGTGTGTGTGTGTGTGTTTAGTGAACGATCTGCGTATAAAGTGTAAATTGGCCGATTAAAGAAGGAGAAAGACGCGTAAAAGTGCCGCTGTCGTTTCTCTAATGCGCAACGCTCTTGTTCTGACGCTCGTTTGAAACAAAAGTGTCCCGTCACGAGCTCATGCGTGCGTCAGAAACTTTAATATCAGCGCGACGCGTCTGTCTGCGAATATCTTATTAATAATATCACGACGAGTTAGAGATCATAAAGTCAGAGAAGTTTTGCGGTTTCTCAGAAGAACATATGGCATAAAGACACAGCTGGAGATTTGAGGCTGATGTCAGAGCAGCTGACTCTACCCGATCACACACACACACACACACACACACGCATGCTCGTTCTGCGTGCAGTCTCTTCTGCTGCTGTGAAACTCTTCTCTGGGTTAGTGTCGTGCTTTCGCGTGTGTGTGGATGATTGTTCTCTCTCTCTGCTGTCTGATGGAGAACTGAAGATCAGTGTGTGTGTGATCTGACAGAAGAGGGTGAGCTGATGCGGTGTGTACTAGTTTAACAACAGGTTGTGTTTTAGTGTGTTTGACAGCTGATGCTGTAAACTTGTGTTTAATGTCTTCATGTGTGTGTAGATAAGCAGTGTGTGAACACGACTTGTTTAGACGCATTATGGCGGAATTATTCGAATATTAATGTGTTGCATTTGAAGCGATTTTCTGTGCTTGAGATAAAAGTTTCTGTAGACTGATAATGGTTGGTTTCAGGTTGACTTGTTTTAATGCATTATGGCGGAATATTTAGACATTTTATGTGTTGAATTAGAAGTGATGTTCTTGTTTGTCTGACATGCATTGAAAGCAGCATGTTTTTAATTCATTTTTAATGCATGGTGGCATTACTTCTGCTGTCATCAGTGGTGTGTGTGTGTGTTGCATTAAAAGTGATTTTTGAAGATGCTTGAGAATTTTTTTGTAGACTGAAAATGGTTGATTTCAGGTTTTTGTTTCAACTTGTTTTTAATGCATGTAAAAAATAACCCTGTAAAAAAACGGTAATCTACTGGCAGCTGTGGTTGCAAAGCATGTTACTGTAAAAATACGGTGTGTTACTGTTTTTGAAACTAGCAGCTAAATACTGTATTGTTAGCTACTGTATAAAACTTGAATTTAACATCTATATGTTCTAACACAAAAACAGTAACAGACCGTATAGTTACAGTATGATGCTGGCAACCACAGCTGCAGTAGTCTATTGTTTTTTTACAGTGTTATTTTTTACAGTGTGGGATTACTTCTGTCTGTCATGAGTGTGTGTGTGCGAGTGAGTGAGTGTCTGTGTGAGAGTCTGTGTGTGTGTGTGTGTGTGTGTGTGTGTGTGTGTGAGAGAGAGTGTGTGTGTGTGTGTGTGTGTGTGTGAGAGAGAGAGAGAGAGAGAGTGAGTTTCTTAGTGAGAGTTTGTGTATGTGAGAGAGAGATTGTGTGTGTGTGTGTGTGTGTGTGTGTGAGAGAGAGAGAGAGAGAGAGAGAGTGTGTGTGTGTGTGTGTGGTGTGTGTGTGTGTGTGTGTGTGAGTGAGAGAGTGAGTAAGTGAGTGAGTGTCTATGTGAGAGTCTGTGTGTGTGAAAGAGAGATTGTGTGTGTGTGTGTGTGTGAGAGAGAGAGAGAGAGAGAGAGTCTGTGTAAGAGAGAGTGTGTGAGAGAGAGAGATTTTGTGTGTGTGTGTGTGTGTGTGTGTGTGTGTGTGAGAGAGAGAGTGAGTGTCTATGTGAGAGTCTGTGTGTGTGAAAGAGAGATTGTGTGTGTGTGTGTGTGTGTGAGAGAGAGAGAGAGAGAGAGAGTGAGTTTCTTAGTGAGAGTTTGTGTATGTGAGAGAGAGATTGTGTGTGTGTGTGTGTGTGTGTATGTGTGTGTGTGTGAGAGAGAGAGAGAGAGAGAGAGAGAGAGAGAGAGAGAGTGTGTGTGTGTGTGTGTGTGTGTGAGTGAGAGAGTGAGTAAGTGAGTGAGTGTCTATGTGAGAGTCTGTGTGTGTGAAAGAGAGATTGTGTGTGAGAGAGAGAGAGAGAGAGAGAGAGAGAGAGAGAGAGAGAGAGAGAGAGTGTGTGTGTGAGAGAGATTGTGTGTGTGTGTGAGAGAGAGAGAGTGAGTGTCTATGTGAGAGTCTGTGTGTGTGAAAGAGAGATTGTGTGTGTGTGTGTGTGTGTGAGAGAGAGAGAGAGAGAGAGAGTAAACACTAAACACACACTCACTCACAGCCTAAGACCTACACACATGTATATAATGTTCAATATTTTTCTTTTTATGTATATATATATATTATATATATTATATAGATGATTTCTAAATCCATTTTATTTTATTTATTAATCTGTTCATTTTATTATTATTGTTTTATGATATCAGTTTTAATATTTTGTGTACTAAATGTTCCAAATCATTTTCTATGTTGTTTTGACGCTTTGGCAATACAAAATGTATTTTTTGTCATGCCAATAAAGCTTTCTGAATTGAATTGAATTGAATTGAGAGAGGGTGAGTGAGTGTCTATGTGAGAGTCTGTGTGTGTAAAAGAGATTGTGTGTGTGTGTGTGTGTGTGAGAGAGAGAGAGAAAGAGAGAGGGTGAGTGAGTGTCTGTGTGAGAGAGAGTGTGTGAGAGTGTGTGTGAGAAAGAGAGATTGTGTGTGTGTGTGTGTGTGTGTGTGTGTGTGTGTGTGAGAGAGAGAGAGAGAGAGAGTGAGTGAGTGAGTGTCTGTGTGAGAGTGTGTGAGAAAGAGAGATTGTGTGTGTGTGTGTGTGTGTGTGTGTGTGAGAGAGAGAGAGAGAGAGTGAGTGAGTGTCTGTGTGAGAGTGTGTGAGAAAGAGAGATTGTGTGTGTGTGTGTGTGTGAGAGAGAGAGAGAGAGAGAGTGAGTGAGTGAGTGTCTGTGTGAGAGTGTGTGAGAAAGAGAGATTGTGTGTGTGTGTATGAGAGAGAGAGATTTGAGATTTAAGACACCTTTATTAACTAACTACACAACATTAAAAAAATATATAAACACTACATTAGCGAGAAATCAAGAAATCACATTGACCTACTCAAATTCTTCAATAAAGTGCAATGTGTCATTTTCAATCCAGCACAACATTCTTTGTACACTCCACATATCTTCAAAGTTTTCCAATTTTTTCATATGAGAATAAAAAATAAAATCATGTTTTATCCTTGCTTTTATGAGCCCCTTAAACAACAATACAACATTTGTACTATTGCCAGCAATTTCATGTTTCCTACTAATATAAACTGCCATTTTGGCTTGACCCAGAATAAAGTTTAACAACCGTCCTTTCTTCTTCTTTCTTTTACAATATTTAAAACCAAAAATAAACACAATCATTGTAAACACTTCATTAACATTAGTAAATAAAATCTCCAATAAACCAAATAGAGGTCTTAGTCTCTCACAATGCATAAAACAATGAAAAATGGTTTCTCTTGCCCCACAAAAAGGACAACTATCTTGCACATTCGGATTCAACAATGAGATAAAAGCATTTATAGCAACAATTCCATGTAAAATTCGCCATTGAAGATCACCCACATGTTTAGTCAATGGTGGTTTGTAACAAGAGCCCCAGAAAGGTTTGACATCAGAATCAACACTTAAATGGTCTCTCCATGGTGTATCCATACGTTTTAACTTCTCATTATTTATCACCTTCACACAGACATTATATAAACTCTTTCCTCCTATTGTGTCGAACATTATATCTCTCACATGCTCTGAGGTTGACAAAACATTTTCATTTTCTATAACACTTTTGGATATCACCATACGCGGAAAAATGTCTGTTTTATCAGGAAGAGCTTGACTTGACAAAAAGTTCCAGTCGTCTTCACTCAAATTTTTCCGCCACTTTTTCAATAAAAAATTTACTGTTCTTGTTGATTTAATTCCAAGTCTCTGTGCAAAGGCATCAACATTGTCCATCGCAGTACCAGCCACTTCTATTAAGTCCTTCATTTGAACAACTTTGGCTTTTGTTAAAGTTTGCATCAACCACAAAATTGTATCTCCACATAAATCAAGTCGAGCACCATTAATCAATGGCTCTTCCAAAAACCAATGCAGAGACTGATATGACGCTGATCTTTTAATCTGTACCAAACACCATGCTCTTCTTAAACTTTCATAAAAAGACGAGATAGACTTCAAATTAAAACTCCTACAATCTGTCCAAAAAATATTTCTTCTGAAACCCCACCCTCCAACCTTACTCAAAAGGCAACAGGCTGGTCCAAACCATGAAACATTAGGACAGTATAAAAACCTTTGAGCAAACTGTAGCCTAAAAGCTACTTTCCTGCTCAAAAGATCCACCACCCCTTGACCACCCTCTTCTTTTGGAAGGTACAAAACATTCCGTGGTAACCAATGTAATCGATCCCAAAAGAAGTTAATCATCTTAACCTGTATCTTTCCAAGAACCCCTTCAGGAGGCTCTAGAACTGCTATTCTGTGCCATAGTGAGGAGGCTACTAAATTATTAATAATCAATGCTCTCCCCCTAAAGGATATTTTAGGTAAAAGCCATTTCCACCTTTCAAATCTTCCTTCTACATTTTCGACAATACTTTCCCAGTTTCTTTTCATTATAATTTCATCACCCAAAAAAATTCCAAGATACTTCAGACCTCTTTGTGACCAGACCATTTCACCAGGTAATACCAGTTCTCCTTCATTCCATTCTCCAACCCTGTATGCTGAACTTTTGGCCCAATTTATTTTTGCAGATGAGATTTTTCCATAAATGTTAACAATATCAACCAGCTTGTCAATATCATCTTGTCCACTGGTTAAAACTAAAATATCATCTGCATATGCTGATAGCTTTATAGGTGGAAAAGTACTGTCATACATAAAACCATCCAGATGAGTCCTAATTTTATTTAACATGGGTTCTATTGCTATTGAGTACAGCATTCCTGACAAGGCGCATCCTTGCCTAATACCCCTTTGTATTTTAAAAGGGCTACTCAAACCACCATTGATTTTCAGTACACTTTCAATATTTTCATAAAGCACTTTAATCAAGGCAGTGAAGGCAGGTGGAAAACCAAAAGTATCAAAAGTATACCATAAAAATTGATGATCCACCCGATCAAACGCCTTCTCTTGATCTAGGGAAATTAGGCCACATTTTTTCCCACACAGTCTAGAAACTTCCAAAATATCCCGAATTAAGGATATATTATCCACGATTGATCTATTAGGGACACAATAAGATTGATCTAAATGTATAACCTGTCCAATTACTTTCTTCAGTCTGTTCGCCAAAGCTTTGGATAAGATCTTATAATCAGTGCATAATAAAGAAACAGGCCTCCAATTTTTATCTCCTTGAGATCACCTTTCTTAGGGAGCAAAGTTAAAACAGCTCTTCTGCAACTTAGTGGCAGTTGTCCTTTATCCAAACTGTCACTTAAGACGGCCAGTAGATCTTCTCCCAACAAATGCCAATATGCCTTATAGAACTCAACAGGCAACCCATCCAATCCTGGTGTTTTACCATTCTTCATACTCTGAACAGCATTAAGAATTTCATCTGTTGTTAAAGGACATATCAGTTCTGCATATGAATCTTCCTTCACTCTTGGTAGATTGGATACAAATTCAGCCATTAACTGTCCATTCACAACACTGTTGGAATACAGCTCCTTATAAAAACTGACAGCTCTTTTCCGAATGTCAGAAACCTCAGTCAGGACTTTTCCACCTTCTGATCGTAAACACTGAATACTTTTTTTTTGGCCATTTTTCTTTTCTAAACTGAAGAAGAACTTGGACGGGGCATCCATTTCAGAAAGACTCTGAAATCTAGATCTAACCAACGCCCCCTGAGACCTTGTCCCTAATAGATCTGCTAAGGCTGCTTTTTTTCCTTTAAGAGCCCGCAATTGGTTGGGATTTGCCGAGATTTCATTTAAAGCCTGAAGTTCAACAATATCCATTTCTAGACTTCTTATAGACTTAACTATATCTCTAGAAACATTAAAAGTGTACTGATTACAGAATGTTTGTATTTGCACCTTCCCAATCTCCCACCACTGTTGTATTGATGTAAAAGATGACTTTTTAGATTTCCACCCCAACCAAAAAAAAGAAAAACATTTACAAAAATGAGCATCTTCTATTAAAGCACTATTAAAATGCCAATAGGCACTCTTATATTTGATTGAATTAATAAAAACACATGCTACTACCATTGAGTGGTCAGAGAAACCAACAGGACAAATATCACAAGCTTTAAAACATTGTTTCTGATGATTAAAACAAAAGAAAGAATCCAATCTTGCTAAAGAGATACAATTTTCTTTTACATGAGCCCATGTATATTGTCTTTCGTTACTATGAAAAATTCTCCACACATCACAAATTTGACAAGTTTGAATGATATTTTGTAATTTACCCCTTGAAGCCATATGAGGCTCAATATGATTCCTATCTAAATCATTACTTGTACAATTAAAATCTCCACCCACAACTAAAACATTTTCTAGATTACATTCTTTTAGGCTTTCACATAAAGTTTCAAGAAACAACATTCTTTCTATTGATTTTACAGGGGCATAGACATTTATTAATTCCAAAGTGACATTTTCAAATGTTGCTTTTATCTTAATTAATCTACCTTGTATTACTTCTGTTACATCATATGATGTTGGTAAACAAGTCTTTGAAAACAACACAGCCACCCCAGCACTCAAAGCAGTCTTATGACTCAAAACAATGTTTCCTTCCCACTCTTTCATCCATTCGACTTCATTTTCCTTTGTGCTGTGAGTTTCTTGCAAAAACATAACATCAATATTTTTTAGTTTCATCAACTCGTAAATCTGCGCTCTTTTGCTTACATCCCTCGCCCCATTTACATTCAGGGAAGAGATTTTAAAATTACTCATTATGAGGGATGAAAAAAGCACAACAAACCAGATCCATATCACTCTGCTATTCTTGTGACAAATCATTACTTAATGCTTGAGGGCGTACTTTTTGCACAATCTTTTTTAGACGATACACTTCAGGATTTGACAGACATCCTTCCCCTTTTTGTTTCATTAAGCTTTTTGCTGAGTCAATAAACAAAGAGAGGTCAGGAAAATAATCTATTACTTCAACATTCCTCATTCCTTTTGTGCGCTGGAGAAAATTTTTCATTTTCTCCAAGCTGTACCCACTATATTCTTGTCTCAACTCTTCCTCAACTGGACCTTCAGAGAATTCCTGCTCACTTTCTGAGTCAGACATATCACTTGAATTCACCACCTCAGCACTTTTGGTACTGATCTCATCTTGTGCCTTTTTCTTTGATTTAGCTATACTTTCACCAAGATTAGACTTCCTTTTCACTGATGGCACTTTAAATATTGCTTCATCCTCTTTGAGTAATTCACCCACCATCTCATCAAGTTCAATGTCCATTGTCTCGTCATCTTTTCTAAATCGTTTCTCACTACTCTTCACTCCACTTCTTCCTGGTTCTTCATCATTGTCCACATTCAAAACTGAACCCTCACCAATTTCACTTTCTTTTTCTACACTTTGATTTTCATTATGACTTTGAGACCCACTTTCATCATCTGTAACATTGGGCACATTTTTGTCTGGACACGCACGTACCAAATGCCCCACTTTCCCGCATCCAAAGCATTTCATGCTCTCTGTTGTGGCAAAAATTACATAATCGAAACTATCAACTTTGAATTTAAAAGCAATATTCAACTCATCAATATCACTCCTCAAAATCATGTATACCTGTCTACGAAAAGACACAACATGCTTCAACAACGGGGATTTGCACCCTAACGGAATTTTTTTAATTGCTGAAACTAATTGTCCATACCGAGATAATTCACGTTTCAGCGCTTCGTCACTAATAAAAGGAGGCACGTTAGACAGCAAAACCTTTCTCGCTGGGTTAACAAGTGGGAAAACCTTGATCAAACTATCATTGAGGACAATCCCATTTTCAACTATCGTGTTCACTTTCTCAGTTTTATCTAAAAAAATCACCACAGCACCGTTCATTCTCGACGCCGAACGAATACTGCTGTGACCAACACCAACCACCGATCCTACTGCTAACACACATTCTTCGACTGAACACTCAACTCCAACCGGCACTTTTATTCCATGTTGCCGGGTGAGTTGTTCATAACTCTCCGCCTCCACATTCGCCATGGTAGCCAGTTTAAACTACCAGTTCAAACTGGCTAACCCACCTCCCTTTTTCCACCACAATATCCCCAGTGCTTTGTGACCATACACAATAAAAACAGTGAGAGAAACAACACTTAAGTAAAACAGACCTTTGAAGAAGAAGAAAGGACTCCACAATTACGCTCCGATTCACACTCCGCACTCACTCAGCAAACGCTCACGCATGCGCACGAGAGAGAGAGAGAGAGAGAGAGAGAGAGAGTGAGTGAGTGTCTGTGTGAGAGAGAGTGATTGTGTGTGTGTGTGTGTGTGTGTGTGTGTATGAGAGAGAGAGAGAGTGAGTGTGTGTGTGTGTGTGTGTGTGTGTATGAGAGAGAGAGAGAGTGAGTGTGTGAGAGAGTGTGTGTTGCATTAGAAGTGGTTTGTTAAATCATCTGGCTCAACTAACTGATAAACAGTCTCCAACTGATCCTTAGTGTGTGTGTGTGTGTGTGTGTGTGTGTGTGTGTTGAAGTGATTGTCAGTGGACTGAAACGTGTGTGTGTCCACTGTTGTTCGTCTCCAGCGGGCCGTCGCCGTAAAGTCGGCATGTTCCGAACGGCCGCCCAGCGTTTATTTAACATCCAGTTTTTCCTGTTTCCCGGCAGGTTCCCGGCATAAGAATGGAGTTCCCGGAGCACAGCCGGCAGTTGCTGGCGTGCCTGAGTCAGCAGAGACAGCAAGGGTTCCTCTGCGACTGCACCGTCCTGGTGGGACCGACCCGCTTCCGGGCGCACCGCTCCGTCCTGGCCTCCTGCAGCATGTTCTTCCACCTCTTCTACCGGGACCAGCCGGAGAAACGGGAGCTGGTGCATCTGAACAGCGACATCGTGACGCCGCCCGCGTTCGCGGCGCTCCTCGAGTTCATGTACGAAGGGAAGCTGGCGCTGGGAAGCGTCCCCGTGGAGGACGTCCTGGCCGCCGCCAGCTATCTGCACATGTACGACATCGTGAAGGTGTGTAAGGGGAAGCTGAAGGATAAGGAGACGTGCGACGGGATCGGGCAGAAGGCCAACGGTCACCCGGATCTTGTAAGTGTCAATTATGTGTCGGCAGAGGCCGAGGTGTGTGTCCGAACAGCTGGAAGGACAAAAGCGGATGTCAGGAGTTCCCAAAGGTCGGATGACACGGAGCGCGCGCTGGATTTGTCTCTCAAGCCTCTCCGAGACGACGCGTGTGTTTCGGGACAGCTGGCCCTCGACAGCCAGCAGCAGGACACCGAGACACTTGTTAAAGACGAACATGACTCGCTGTCAGAGCAGGAGGACGCGGATCCGGAGAGCCCGGAGAGCCAGCGCTTTGGGAATAACGCCAGGAGTTCGGTGGTGACAGGGTTCGCTGAACTCTTCCCGGGAAACAAGCTCCCCGCGGACGACGAGCTGATGGACGTGCGCGTGCGCGGCGACAGCGAAGGCGAAGACGAGGACGATCTGGCGTCGTCGGACATCTCCACGTCCAGCGGGATCCTCCTCCCGACGGGGGGCCCGCAGGTGTGTGTGTGTCCGCTGTGCAGCAAGGTGTTCCCGAGCCCGCACGTGCTCCAGATGCACCTCAGCGCTCACTTCCGGGAGAAGGACGGCGTCCGCTCCAAACTCTCCCCCGACGGGTCCGTGCCCACGTGCGGGCAGTGCGGGAAGACCTTCTCCTGCATGTACACGCTCAAGCGGCACGAGCGCACGCACTCCGGGGAGAAGCCGTACACCTGCGGGCAGTGCGGGAAGAGCTTCCAGTACTCGCACAACCTGAGCCGGCACGCCGTGGTTCACACTCGCGAGAAGCCGCACGCCTGCAAGTGGTGCGAGAGACGCTTCACGCAGTCCGGGGATCTGTACCGGCACATACGCAAGTTCCACTGCGGACTCGTCAAAACGCTCGCCGTCGGATGATGACAACAACAATAGTAACAACAATAATAATAATAATAATAATAATAATAACATCCAGTGTTTTGCTGTTGGCAGAATATTGACACAGTCGTGTCTCTGGCAATCAATTATTTGATCCATTTGGGACTGGACATCGTGTGTGTGTGTGTGTGTGTGTGTGTGTTAAACGGTTAAGCAGCTCCGTCCTGAAGGTTTGATTTCATATCTGCTGTCATTTATTAGAGATTACTGGACCATTATTGAGTTTTGATCATGTACTGTATGGTTGATGATTTCATTCAGGTGTGTGTAATCACACACACACACACACACACACACACACCCTCACAAACAGACAGACAGACACACTCACACACTCATTCACACCCTCACAAACAGACAGACACTCACACACACACACACTCCTTCACACTCACACACATACGCACTCTCTCTCTCTCTCACACACACACACACACACATACTCATTCACACCCTCACAAACAGACAGATACTCTCACACACACACACACACTCACTCCTTTACACCCTCAAACAAACAAACACACACTCTCACACACATACACACACTCTCTCTCTCACACACACTCATTTAAAACCCTCACAAACAGACAGACACTCACTCTCACACACACACACACACACACTCCTTCACACTCTCACACACATATACACTCTCTCTCTCACACACACTCTCATTCACACCCTCACAAACAGACACTCACACACACACACACACACACACAATCTCACACACGTACGCACTCTCTTTCTTTCTCACCCATTCACTCACACACACACACACACACACACACACACACACTCATTTAAAACCCTCACAAACAGACATACACTCACTCTCACACACACTCTCACACACACACACACTCCTTCACACTCTCACACACATATACACTCTCTCTCTCACACACACTCTCATTCACACCCTCACAAACAGACACTCACACACACACACACACACACAATCTCACACACGTACGCACTCTCTCTCTTTCTCACTCACTCACTCACACACACACACACGTACGCACTCTCTCTCTCACACACTCACATACACACACACGTATGCTCACACACTCTCTCTCTCACTCACACACACACACACACGTACACTCTCTCTCTCTCTCTTTCTCTCTCTCACACTCACACACTCACACACATCTCCACAAGCGTGGAGTGTGTTCTGCAGAGCCGTGTCTCCTGATTCAGGTTCTGCATTCACACACACACACACGTGTGTTTGCCTTCTAAAGCGGCTGTCGTCATATTCCTCTGATAACACACACGTCTGACTGAACCCTCATCAGATCCTAGCGCTTTAGCGTTCAGAGTTTCGCTAATATCTGAAGAACGTGAGTTCTGCTTCACTAACACCTACTCTCTCTCTCTCTCTCTCTCTCTCTCTCTCTCTCCGCTGTAAACGCTTCCGCGGGACAGAATGTTTCGAACAATACTAGCACTAAAAACTCCACGTTCTGCTGTCGCTCCTGATAAACTTGATTAGTTATTTATTAGTGTGTTTTTGGTTCAGGGTTTAGAAACGCGATGATATTTGCTCTCTAATATCGGGATAATCCATCGTCAATCAGAACGAAGCTCATCGAATGAAGTTCGACTATCAAGCACTTCTCGGATAGATACAACACTCGTATACTGTAGGCTGCTATTTCTAACGGTGTATTTATTGTAAATATGTGTTTTATTTATCACATTTGGTGACTGGAGTATAGAATGACTGAACTCTCTCCAGCCGTGGCCGAGATTAAACTCGTTTCTGTTGGTTCTCAAGCACAAACGCCTGAAACACCTGAAGACTAATGTTAATAATCTACCTGATAGTCACATATGTGCTTCTGCATCTTTAACTGCACAGTTGTGCAAAATAATATCAAGTTTGTGGGCAAGTAAATCCTTACAGACGCTGGTTATTTATAGTTGATTTGAGTTCTTTTCTTTATTTGATGTTTTTACACGATCACAACTATGACATGATTCACTTTTCTAATGTTCAGCCGAGATATGGATGCAATAATGAACTGGTCGTCGTGGACCGGAAGAGCGATTGTCATATTTTCAGTGACGGCTGTATATGTACATTAATACTGGATTATTGTCTTCTAAGGTTCAGACTGTGAAATTGTATAATCATAAGTAATATTTATTGGTTTGTTTCTTGTGCGAAATGTTACTGTATCTGAGATTTTGACTTGTAAAATGAAAGATGATACTAAGTTGAGACTTTTTAATAGACTTTGTAGAAGTGCCATTAGATGTAATATAATTTTTTGATAAACAAAAACATATTTTATAGGAAACAAAAGCTTGATTGTAAGTCGTTTAGTGAATGTAGATGACAATCTGTTGGATTTGATTTCGCTTGGAATTCTTTGGTAATTTATTTTGATTCTTTGTTTATTTGTGTGCGCTTTCTTTCTTTCTTTCTTTTCATTGTTTCTTTCTTTCTCAGACACATTTGACTTTTCTGCCTGTTTGTTTGTGCTGTGAAAATGTGACAATCTTTATCTAGATCCTGATTTAGATTAAGCATAGATTAAACATCCTTTTCTGTGGAAGTATTGTGTTTGACTATTTTTTTATGATGCTCATGTGACATTGCAATGTAAAAATAACAACAACAAAAACTGAAGATTTTCTGTAGAAACACTTGAAAATGACTAAAATCTTGGAAATGTCTATAATTAATGTAAATTCACAGCTTCTGCTTTTTTTGAGTGTAATCTGGGGGGAAAAATCCCAGGTCACTCTTAGAAAAAATAAATAAATGTTATTTTATAGTAGTTCTTAAATGATTCCATAATACTTTCACATTTAATGCTTTTCAATGTTTTTCTAGCGGAAAAAAAGTATGTTTATGAGCTGTTTAATTAAAAAAATATATTATTAAATCCATAAAGTTTTGGCGGGAACCGGTTTTATTGCTATAAAGCGCCGGACGGAACCTTTCATATAAAATTTTTAAAGTTTACTTGAAGCCATTGGTCAAATTCAATGGAATCAGGGATTAATAAATGACCTCAAATATATTTCCAAGGAGTTTCACGTAAGTCATCAGTCGGTGTGTGGATTTGTGTACAGAAAACACCGCGGCTTCTCCTGAATACCGATGATATGGAAGGGGGAGGGGGTAATACACACACACACACACACACTACCAGATATAAAGCAGGTGCAGTGCAAACTAGTGAACCTGCGACTTTACTTAATTTTTCGTGTTTGACTTCCTCGTTCAGCGTTTCCTCACCGAAAGAACCCCTCCTTCACTGGACGCTCATTTGCATTCCGAGCCAACAAACAATTCACGCAGAAGCAGGAAAAGAAATGCGTGGCGAATTCGGAATTTCAAAAGCCAATTCACTGGTCATTTTCTTAGCGAGTGAGACCCTAATTATTCTCCGCCCGCACATGTTAAGACACCCAGCTGCTCTGCGGCGTGATTCCCATGGCCTCCCCCAACGAAACCACACGCTCCGGGGGAACGACCCCCATCAAACCCCGGCTCTTTTGTCTGTGGTTTGTAGTTCAGTGTGTCTATTGTCCGGTTCCAGCTCTCGAGTTCTGGCCTGAAGCTCAGCGAACCGCTGTAGACACAGAAAGAAGGGTGTGTGTGTGTGTGTGTGATGGCTCGTCTGGAAACTCTAGGATTTAAATTATTGGAGGCCCGGAGAATTGCGGTTAAATCTACTAACATTTCACCTGGAGATCAGTCTTACAATTAACAAAGCGATGGTGGTTTCTGGGGTCGGACAGCAATGAAAAAACTATATTAAATGGAAATAATAAAACATATCTTTTCTTTTCTTGTTACTTTTCTAACATGGTACAAAAATCAGGATAACACCGTGGCCATTTTCATTTGTGACATATTTTTGTGCTAAATGAGCTACTTTAAAAAAATAGCACCACCCCAGCAAAACCTCACCAAACATTCAGAACAGCTCTGAAATGCATTCTTGTATTATCGAGCTAATAATGCTCACAACACATAGGCACCCACCTTGCAAAACCTTAGTAAACACTTTAAACACCCCAGCAACTCCTTAGCAACCACTCTAAACACCTTAGCAACCACTCAGCAGTGACTTAACAATCACTCAGAACAGCTGGAATATGCATTCTTGCATCAACAAACTAATAATGCTCAGAACACATGAAGAGCAACCTAGCAACACCTTAGCAACCACTCAAAACACCATAACAACCATCCAGCAATGCCTTAACAATCACTCAAAACAGCCAGAAAATGCATTCCTGTATCAATAAGCTAATGATGCTCATCACATGGGCAAACACCTAGCGACACCTTAGCAACCTCTCAGAACACCCTAGCAACACCTTAGCAATCACTTAGAACAGCTATGAAATGTCTTCTGGCATCAACAGGATAATAATGCTCACAAAACATGAGCAACCGCCTAGTAACACCTTAGCAACCACTTAAAAACCTAGAAACCCCCAACACCCACTCAGTACAGCACGAAAATGCATTCTTAAAAATACCCACATTACTCGAGCAACCACCTAGCAACACCTTATCAACCACTCAAAAGTCCCTAGCAACCCCCTGACAACACCATAGCAAATCATTTAGAACAGCTATGAAATGCATTCTCGTATCAACAGGCTACTAATTAACAACACATGTTGCCACCTGGCAACACCTTAGCAACGACTTAGAACACCCTATAACCCCCCTAGCAATCACTCAGAACAGCTAAGAAATGCATTCTTGTATACAAGCTAATAATGCCCACAACACGTGGACAACCACCTAACAACACCTTAGCAACCACCCAGAACACCCTAGCAACCCTCAGCAACTCAAATTTGCCTAGAATATGTTTCCAGTGAAATTCTGGCAAAATTAGAAATCCGATCTAGATAATCTTAAATATCGGTTCACTTGTGAGTTTGTGTGGGATACATTCATGAGTTCACACGTAAATAAATACAATTAGAGGGAGCAAAGTTTAATGCGTTTTTGGCGTGCTGTCCAGGGGGAGGGAGTTTAATTTCTATTGATTATAAGGACATTTCATTTTCTGCCATGAATGATCGTGGTGTCCACTTAAACTCCTTGAGCATGAAACAGCTGAAGGACTGGACTAGACAACTAGCAAATGAGAAACAAGCACGCCATGACTAGTTGTACTCTTTGATGAGCGCGCTGTCGTCTCTTTGACTTAATTAGATGTGCGTTTTGCCCTCGCTTATCAAAAAGCTTCATGTAATTTCCATTTCACCACAGCTAGCACATTTGCATGTATTCCCCAGACGACAGGAAGTCTTTGTAGGAGAAGTGAAGTTGAAACTTGGATGT